ATGAACTGCCTCATTTGTTCTTATAATGATCCCTGCGGCACTGGGATCATCTCCAGTTTTCAGGAGAAAGGGAGGCACAAGGCATTTCCATGACTTGCCCATGGTCACACAGCTAGGAAGGGAGGGCGAGATTTGACCCCAGAACCCTCAACTCTTACCCCATACTGCTCCTCTAGGACCCAGGTCTCTGAGTCATAGTGCTTGGCCCTTGGCATTATTCCAGGCATGTCCAGGGATGCTCAGGAGAGGGGGAGGACTCAGAGAGGGTCCCCTCCTTGAGTACCTCATCAAAGAAGCTCCATCTCTGCCCTGAACGCGGGACTCACATTCAGCTGCCTGCTCACATCTCCACCTAGACGTCAGAGACAGTTCCTGTGAACTCCTGCTCTCTCCTCACCATACAAACAAAGCTAAACAGTCAAGCAAACAAAAGCCTCTGTTTCTCTCAGTTATATTATCTCAGGAAATGGAAACCCCATTCTTCTAGGTACACAGGTAAAAACATTTTTGTCAGTGTTGGTTCCTCTCTTTCTCTCACATCTCATGTTCAATCCATTAGCAAATCCTGCAGCTCTGGCTTCAAAATAAACCCAGAATTTGACCACTTTGAACTACTTTCACTGCTACCACCCTGGTCCGAACCACCCTCAGCTCTTGCTTGGACTATTGAAGTAGCCTCCCAGCAGGTGTCCCCGCTCTGTCCTGTAGTCTATTCTCACCGCAGCAGCCCCAGTGGTCCTGTTAAAATGTAAGTTAGATGATGTCATTCTCTGCTCACACCTGCCAGTAGCTTCCTGTCTCTTTCAGAACACATGCCAGAGACCTTCAAGTGCCTGTGAGGTCCTGGGGACTTAACACCACTCTCTCATGCTGCTTCTGCCACTGCCCTTCCTCCAACATTCCAGGCTTACCCTTGCGGTTCTCCTTGCCTGGGGCGCTTTCCCCTCAGATGACACCATGGCATCATCTCCTCTCTGTTAGAGATTTACATACTCAATGTCAACTTTTCATCACCCAATTTAAGGTTGCAACCTCCTACCCCACTCCCACCTATCTTTCCTACTTCATTTTTCTTCATCATGCATTTCCATCTGACATACCATAAAGTTTATTTATTTGTTTGCTCACATCTGTTTCCCCCAGTTTGAATGCAAGCTCCATGAGGCCAGGATTTTTATCTCTTTGGCTTGCCACTGTATCCCCACACTACCTGGCATACAGTAGATGCTCAGTAATTTATTGAATGAATGACCAGAAGTGACCTCTAGTGAGTGGCTCTCGTCTGGACCAAGACTCCTGGTGTCACCCTTCTCCAGGCCCAAGAATATGTAACAACTCCCTGAGGCAAAGAGTTTGATGGGGATTCTCTGAGCAAATGTCTCTTCCATCCACACCACAGATGAGCCCAGGGAAGCTATCACCCAATACATACTGTGCATGCCCAAAGGACAGTCTGAAATCTGGGGTTCACAAACTTGGGGATTCCATTAAAAGGAGAGCCAAGTTCCTAGAATTTTAGGCAATAGGACTCTGGAGAAATGACCCAAACTGGCTAGGAAGGGTCTCTTGGGCAATAGCTGAGGGACCAAGAAGATTTTGCTCTTGGAAGTATTCTGACCAGAGATGATGAGGTTGGGTTTCCCCAAGTTCTTGAGCTGAGATGAGTCTCATCAGAGAAGGTGTTCCATGCTCTGAAATAGACTCATCTGTCCACACACATCCACCCACCCACCCACCCATCCATTCAGCCACTCATCCATTCATCCATCCACCCACCATTTATACATCCATCATTCAACACACATATATTTAGTACCCACACTATGCACTGGACCTTATGTTAAGTGCTAAATAAATGTTAAGAGATAAATCAGACTAGTCCTTCTCCTTAAGGACTCATGGTTCAGTTGGGGAGACACATGACGAGGCACATACTTCTCATAGATGCAGGCACAGGGGGGGCTCCTGGCTCTGTCTTGGGGGAGAGGAAATGGAAACTTTTCCTGGAGGGGGGTGGAGACCTTGAGCTGAGATGTAGAGAATCTAAAGCGCAGTGCCTAGTAGAATGGAAGGGTGGATAGGTGGTGAGAAGATTGCAAGCAGAGTGGACAGCCTTAGCAGAAGCATGGCAGGGAGAACAGTGTGTGCAGCATTGCTGGAAGGTAGCATGCAGGGCTTGGAGCTGTAGTCATCTTGCCCAAATGGACGTGGCCCAAGTCCTGGCAACTTGGGGAGCCAGGTGGGGTGTGGGGTGGGAAGAGCCCCATGGGTGAGAAAATGCAACTAAATGAACCAAAGTTATTAGTAGTTTTTAATGGAGCTTTCACAGCAAGTTTCATCAGATCCTGATAAGTTCTCTGAGGAAAGCAGAATAGACAGGGCTGGTAAGAGAAGGAAAGAAAATTGACTAAGGTCATGAGGTATGTGGTTGAGCCGACTCGCCCTATCCCAATAACAGCAAGCCAGCATGTACTGAACACATCCGTAGCACGATGGATGATCACACGAGGCTCTTCCTGTACCAGTTTTGGCTGAATCAACAAGACAGTAGATGCTACATTCTACAGTGAGACCACCATGCAGCTCCTGCCAGGAGAACATGGCAGGAAACTGGGTTAGTCTCTGAACTGAGTATCCTCCTCCAGTTCTGATGGAAAATGTAGAGGCTGAGGCGCAGGGGGTGCCGTGGAAACAAGGGCAAGGACATTCAGGGAGAACTGCTGGGGAGCTGAGGACCCTTTCCTCTGGCTGTCTTTAAGCCAAGGCTAGTGAGTGGGGCTTCAATAGGGCTATTTAAAGAAGGGGATGTGTCTGCCTCAGTTGAGGACACAGTGGCCTGCCCTTCTGGAGAAACTGTAGAGGTGAGAGATGGACCGGCCGCTGATGGCAGAGAGATGGGTGGCTTGAATGCTCAGAGTTTGTCAGAGCAAAGGGTGCCAGAGACCTCTGGTGGGGTGTCTTAGATCCTAAACAATGAGACAGTGTGGAGGGATGAGGCCACAGAAGAACTCGAGAGAGAACGTCTATATACCTGCTGGGGCAGAGAGAGACACCAAGCACAGAGCAGCCCTCAGACAGGAGGCTGCCTTGTCTCTTCACCTCTCCTCCTCCCCAGGAGGAAACTAGGGGCAGCATGAGGCAGGAGGGGGAGGAACAGGGCAAGGCAGGGGAAACCACACATGCACACACGCACATGTGTGCACACACGTACACACACACACCAAACATACATACATGCCACACATGCTTATACACACATGTGCACCACACACACACATTGTACATGTTTGTACACATGCGTACCACATACACACAAGCCACACATGCACACCACATACATACACCCCACATGTTTATACACATATCCCACATGTTTGTACACATGCACACCACATACATACATACCACACATGCTTATAAACATGCACACCACATACATACACACATGCTTGTACACATGCACACCACATACATACACACCACACATGCTTATACACACATGCACACACCACAATGTGCACCACATACATGCACACCACACATGCTCACCCACACAAGCACACTACATACATACAAGCCACACATGCACACCGCATACATACATTCCATATGTTTATACACACATGTGCACCACATGGACACATTCCACGTTTGTACACATGCACGCCACATACATACACAACACATGCTTATACACACACACACACACCACATATGCACACCACATATATACATGCCACACATACTTACACACACACACACAAACTTGCACATGCACAGTCGCGCTCACACACACTCTCCCCCATCCCTCACTGCACTGTCCACCTGTGATAGGACTGAGCTGGGGTATGGGAAGAGGCTCAGTGTTAAGTCTGATGTTTTGACCTTTTTATTGGGGCTAGACATTTAAATCATTTGTGACTTAAACCATTTGTTGGACTTTTTATTACCTAGGGGAGTCCAGAGGAGTTGGGAGGCTTGTCTAAATTTTCATCCAGGGGCAGAGGAAGAATGAGTTGCATAGAAAGAGATAGAACTAAGGCTGTTCACTGATTACTTCTTCCTTCTCTCCATCCCTGTGAGTCCTGCTTGGTCAGCAGGAGGGATATACTCACCATTTAGTGTAAGTGCTGAATTAAAATGACATACATAATAACCCATTTAGTCCTCAACATAACCTCCGAGACAGGTATTATTATCATTCTCCCTGTTTTACAGATGAGGAAACTGAGGCCCAGAGAGATGAAATAACATGCCTAAGTTCTCATGGCTGCTAAGGGGCAGAGCTAGGATTCAAGCCCAGACAGGCTGCCCTCTGACTGTGCGTTTCATCTTCCCAAGAGATCTCAGAGAGCTCCCTGAATGTGCCTCAGAGTTAAAAAGCCACGCTAAGAGTTTAGGCCCATCCGGGACTGAGGGCACGAGGCACAACACAGGGTGGCAGAAACACCAGTGCTGGGATGCCCTCCTGGAGGGAGACTTCCTGGCCTGACTAACCTGCCTGCTGTTCCACTCTCCACAGGAAAATCAGAAGTTAGATGCTGAGCTCTGCGTGCTGTGCGTTGCCCAGCTCCTTTGTGACTGTCGATGAAGGAGTGTGTATATTTGTGTGAATGCACATGTGCACAAGTGTGTGATTCTCTGCTGCCACTCTGTCAAGGTCATGTCCCCCTTGAGGGCAGAGACCATGTCTTCATTCTGTTCCCGATCCCCTCTCAGCTCTCAGTCCAAACATTGCCCATAGAGGGTCACAGGTGATACTCACTAAACAAGCTCAATGCCCCTCCTTTCCTCCCAGCTTTGGAGCAGTAGTGGCCAGGCTGTTCCAGGTGCTGTCCCCTAAGACCCTGCGCCCGGTCCTGACTGTGTTATCACAGGTCAGGCTGACCAGCAGGCACTTGTCAATGTGCTCTCTGTAAAGTGATGGAAAGAATTATTTACTTTTCACAGGCTCATGAGTCCCCTGGCAAAAACGTTTCCTCCTGACACTTTTTTCCCCCTCATTTGCCACTGTATTTATTGAAACTGTGAAAAAGCATACATTTCTTAGTGAGCAGATGCTAAGATCAGTTTTTTGTGGGGTGTGGTTGCTAATTTGCCCAGTTTTTTTTTTTTCGGAAAAAGTGTTAATTCATTTTTTGCTTAAAATACACCGTTTGATGACCTCTCCTTCCCCATTTCTATCCCCTGGGTGAGGTCCCAATTTCCCATACACTTCCTGTAGCAAGTCTCAGCCTGGTCACCACTCTTATCATGGGAAGAGGAAGTGTAAAAAGTGATTTTTGTGCAGACATGAATTATGACACGTGCTGATTATGATTCTAGTGGGTCCAAGTGATTGGAGGGGAGCAGGACACCACAGACACCCACAACAGTAGCCTCTGAAGGACGATGAAGTTCTCAGTGGTCTCCTGGCCCCCAGTCCCAGCTCCTGGAGGCTTCAGGAAAGGGCTGCTGAAAGCCAAGGTGGAGGGCAGGAAGGTGTGGTCAGGAGCGTCTCCGTGACAGGGTGGGATGCAGGGAGGGAGTCCCCCGGCCCCTCAGACGGAAGGGAAGAGGTCTCTCCAGGTGAGCCCGTCCCCCCGCTTCTTGTCCAGCCATCTGCCGCAGTTGAAGATGGTGGCCACACCAGTGCTGGTGTTGGTGACCTCCACCTTGTCCACCAGCCAGCCCGAGTAGTGGCCGCTGCTGTCGTGCTCCAGCCGCACCTTGCGCAGCTCGCCCAGCTCCAGCGTCTCCAGGAAGAAGCGGTCGGTGCTGCCCCGCTCGAAGAGGTTGCGCATTTTCTGCTTCAGCTCCCGCTTGCCTGTGTCCCCGTTGGCCCCAAAGATGGTCACAAAGACGTTGGCGTCAGTGCCTGCCCCTGGCTCGTAGCCTGTCGTCACGATGACCTCGTACTTGACTGGCACCAGGCTCTGGACCTTGCTGGTGAAGCTCTCCGTTGTCTTGGTAACCTCGAATACTTTGAAGTACTTCCTCTTCCTCTTGAGGGGGATGAGGCTGTCGCAGTTAAAGAAGTACCTGGCAGAGGTGGGGGGAGAAAGGGGGGCTCGGTGGACACCAGCCGAGGGTCACGCCCTCCCCTGGTCATCCATAAATGATCCTTTCACCAGGTGACAGGGTATTGGGGCTGGAAACGTCAGGGTTAAAGTGTAAGTACAGGGTCTTGTTTATCCTAAAATCCACAGGGGAGTGTCCTCTCCATCCTTCTAGTTGCTTCTTGATTCTCCTACTTCTCTTTTTGCCCCTAACATTCCATATCCAACCATAAGCAACTCCTGTTGAACTTATCTTCAAAATATATCCAGAATCAGCCCTCTTGGAAAACTGTTTGGCATCTCACTAGCTGCCCTGCTGCTACCGTGGCCCAAGTCGCCATCGTTTTCTAACCTGGAGAGTATCAAGAGCCTGCTAACTGGTCTCCTGGCTTCTTGCTCCCTGTGGTCAGTTCTGATACAGTAAGCCCAAGTATGGCATTCCTCTGCTCAGAACCCTCCAATGGCTTCCCAGGTCAAGGAAAAACCAAAGACTTTACAATGACCTGCAAGGCCCTATGTGATCTGACCCTCCTCCTCATGTGTCCCTGTCTGCCCTGTTGCCTGCTCTTCTCCTCCAAGCTCACTTCACTCCACCATGGTGATACCCATGCTCCCTCAAAGGGACTGATTCATGTTTTTACTGGTGTTGTCACCATCTAAAGAAGCAGCCAAATCCAGAGTGGCAATCCCAGGCAAAGCCAAGTGGAAACATGACTACGCAATGTGTGCTCCCAAGTCCCCCCCACTTGGATGAACCATAAGAGTGGGGGAGGGGGGGCTCATAGACTGCAGAGTGCAAAGAGTAAGAGAAAGTCCTCTACTGAAGAGGCTGCCACAGCAAAAGCAAGTCCTGGGTCAAGAGAAATGGTCTTGGACCAAGAAGTCCCCCTCTAACCCTACCTCGCACACTCCAACTTTAGCCTCTGGTAATGGCAGTGAGTCCAAGAATTATCAAGGAGAAGTCAGAGGGTGCAACGAGAAAATGCCACACGGAGCATAAGGGGGCTTGTGATCTACCCCAGCCCTGACACAAACCACCTGTGCGGCCTTGGGCAAGTCACATCCCCTACCCAGACCTTGATTTTCCCAATGGCAAAGCTAGAGGTTTGGACTGAACAATTGCTATGGCTTCTTCCCACTCCAAATTGCTCATATTTGAACAGCTTTGGAAATAAGCAGTCCTGCTGCTAGCTAATAATAACTTCAGGAATGCAGCACTGAAAAGTTGTGCCCAGTGGGGTAAAATCAAATCCTACTGAAGGTGAAAAATTTTAACAGCAGAAAGAACTTGGTTTTCTGCATGTTCACCAAAGGCCAGGCATCACACATTCTTGCATCTCATGAACTCCCCCAACAACCCTGAGCATCATACTCCCGTTGTGCAGAAGGGAGGACTAAGGCTTGGGGAAGAAAAGTCCCCGCTCAAGGTGACACAGAGCCAGGGCCAGCCTGGCCCCTGAAGAGCAAGCCATTTAAAGACACTTGGAAGGAAATCCTTATTCTGTTTTGAGATCTCTCTTCCCAAGATCACTTGATAAGTTTTGGATTGTTGTTGCCTACCTCAATTTCTTACAGGGGGAAATACTTGCATTCTTTGTTTTAAATTTCTTAGAAATGTATTTCTTTATGCACATTCCCAGTAATATACATAATTCTCTATAAATGCACAAATCATCTGATCATATATACGCTTTTGTAAATGTACTTTCTTGCTTCCTTTCTGCTTGGCTCTATCTCTTTCTTTCTCCTCCTGTTCCACTTCACCATCCCATCTTCACCTCAAATAACCCATGCAACAGTTGAGGGCGTAGGCCTGCCATATTTCCCTCCATCTCAACCCTGCCTAGACCCACGTGTACATAGACATATGGGGATGTCAGTGTTCCCTCTACAAAACGGCACCATATAAGACATGTTTTCCTGCATCTTGCTTTTCTCACTCAACAATACTTCCTGGGAATTGCTCCAAGTCATCTGGTACATATTTAATTCATTATTTTTAATGGTTGAAATATATTCCCTGGTGTAGACATAAGGAAATGTTTTCTAATAGACATAATTATAAGATTGCCAAGATGTGGGACTCAGGGACTTTGTGGAATCAAGGCTGCAGCTGTGGAAGGACACACAGCAGGCTGCTCCCACTGGACACAGGGGTAGGGTGGCCAGCAAGAGTAAAGGCACAAGCGGAGAAAAATGGACGAAAAGCAATGATATATATTTAGGAACATGTATAATATGATCACACTTCTGTGAATGTTGTGGATGTGAGACATTACACAAATGCTGGAGAAGGTATTTTGGGGTCATCAAAATGCTCATGGTGGCCATTTCTGATGGACAGGGCTTTAGGGAATTTCTACTCTTTTTAACATACCTTCTAGTATTGCATAAAGTTTTATTATGATTATGTATTAGATATGCTATTGGGATAAGACAATAAAGGTGTTTTTGGTTTAAAAAATAAATAAAGCCTCTGTGTGTCCTTCTACCGAAAGCCTGAGGATATTAGTGATGAACAAGAACTGGTCAGAAAGGTAAAGGGCACACTGCAAAAGAGGGATCAGAATTAGAAAAGACTGGAAGAGAGAAATTTGAGGTTATTGTGTTTATAAGCGATTGAGAGTCAAATCATTTGTAATTCATAGAAATTCAAATGTGGTTAATGTGGTAATTGGAAAGGAACTTTGGATGTATGTACACTGCTAAGTAAGTGGTTTTTGTAATACAGAATGCATGTGCCTTCTAGAACAACGTCATGGAAATAGCCACGGTGTGTACATGTGCCTGCAAAGTTCCCCTTCTGGATGAAGGTGAAATTTCTGGGGGGAGGCAGGTTTGCAGCCATCAGAAACCACAGACCTGAGACCTATGCAGGTGAGCAGGGGTGGGCTGGGGCTTCTGAGAGCTCCCCAGGCTGACACTCTGCTGTCCGTCCTCTACCCCAGACTCTAGACAGCATCTGGCTCCCCGCCCAGAAGGAGAGCATGAGGCACAGAGAGGGGATGCGCACACAGCTGACGGGGCAGTAGCTCCAGGGGCCTGGACTCCCTGCACCCCCTTCACTTCAGGAAGAGTCTCTTCCCCACAGCTCTCTCTTCCTCCCTGTCCAGCCCCAGTGACATGCTGACAATAGGCCACACTCCTGGCGGTGGAGTAAAAGACTATTCACTTGGGAGCGGCTGCTTCTTCCTACTGGATGCAAAATGCTACAACTTGGGCCCCAGCACTGGGGGGCAGGATGCTCACTGTTGGGCCTTTTCCTCCTCTTCCTCCCGAGGCTGGAAGGTGCCAGGTGGTACTGACAGCTTTAGCCATCTCTCCCACAGCCAGCATTGTGGTTTTAAAGGTAACTCGGGTGGTGACCATTTTACTTTATGTTATTGTGTCTATTTTGGGGATTCGCAGAGGAGCATATCAGCAGCCACATGTCCTGTGGTTGGCAGGCAGTTCTGGGCAGCAGAAGGGGCTTTGACCTGGCCTTGACTTGCTGAGTGAGTCATTAACTCTTCTTAGTTATTTCTGGGTTGGTCTCCCAGCTCTCAAATCCTCTTAGCAGCCACACCCAGCAACTCCTACAGGACTTATTGCACCTTGGCTGGGTTTTCTTTAAAAGAGTAACAATAATGTCACAGCTCAAGAGGGAAGTTGCTGTGGACTGAATTATGTTCCCCCAAATTTATATGCTGAAGCCCTAACACCCAATGTGATGGTATTTGGAGGTGGGACCTTTGGGAGATAATCAGGTTTAGATGAGGTCAGGAGGGTGAGGCCCTTAGGATAGGATTCTTGCCCTTACAAGATGAAGAAGAGAGATCAGAGCTCCAACCCTGATCATGCTGGCACTCAGACTTCCACCCTCCAGAACTATGAGAATACTTTTCTGTTGTTTCAGCCACACAGTCTCTGATATTTTGTTATGGCAGCCTGAGCAGACTGAAACAGAAGTTCAGAGGTCAGAATACCTGCCCGATTTCCAAAGAGGACGCTTGGTCTGGGAGAGCCAAATCCGGGGAGCCTGCAGGTCACAGGTGGAGCATGGACAGGCACTGCTTTGAGAAGGTGGACTCCTGAGGGCCCACCCCGCTGCTGCTTCTGTCCAGTGCACGTACTGGGAAAGGCATTGCAATGAGCAGGGCCAGCCCCGGGAGGGGATACGGTGCTGGGTGGGGTGCCCCAGAAAACAGAAGGCTGGCCCTGTGATCTGCCCTCAGTTTCTCCTTTCCACCCCTCCCTGGTTCCTTCTCAGTGTCTTTCCTGCCTTCCAGAGCCTCAGGGCTCTTTCTGGCTTCCAGTAGTTGTTACCAAGCAGTTTTAATTAGACAAATTGATGGCTGTGACTATGTTGCCTAGGTAACTAAGACCCTTAATCCTCCAGAAAAGCCTGAGTCTCTAAAAGGCCCTGATGGGAGAAGTGCAAAGCCCCTTATCTGGGGTGCTCGGTGGCAGGTGGACTTGTTGGTTTACCCTCCTTTGTCTCTGGTCGCTACTCTGCCCACACAGAGGGTGGGCTCTCCCTAGGACCCTGTAAGCAGCAGCCTTCAAAGCTTTATCTCTTTGTCATTATAGAGTGAGGGGAGGGGAAGACAAGGAAAAGCTCTGCCAAATGGCACTGTTTGACTTTCTCAGTGCTCTTCTAAGGACATGTCCCTGGATTCAAAGTCTTGACACACCAAGGTCACCTGGTCTAATCCCCTTCCTCTGGTGGAGGTCCATGGTTGAGATAGCTCCAGGATAGTACAGCTGCCTCTTCCCTTCCTGCCTTGTAGGAAGCCTAGCATGGGGTGACCTTGGCATTAGAGGGGACGTATCCCTGTACCCTGCCCTCTTGCCCATGGTCCCCCTCAGTCCTTGTCCCCCCCTGAGAGAGTGGCGCTTCCTGGGGGAGGCGCAGTACGTACACATTGCCATACTCCATCTCCGTGATGGTGATGGTCTTGACGTGCCAGACCAGCTCTCTCTTGGGGATGAACCGGTCCTCCCTGGCGAGGTGGCCCACACAGAGGGAGGCAATGTCCCCTAAGAAGACGCTGTCAAACTCAAATGTGTCTGTGGTCCCCCTGCAGGAAACAAAGGGTGGCCAGTGAGCTGCCCATGCAGAACCTGAAGCAGGTGAGCTTTCATGGGGTGCCTACTGCCTCCCAGGCACTGGGCTCGAAACAGAGCTAGGACAGCAAGACCTGATGTCAGTCTCACGTTCCTTGAGGGACTCAATCTAGTTCTGGAACAAGACCACCACCTGGAAAAGCCCTACTAGCTGCCTGGTCCCAGCACCAATGAATGGGATGGAGCTGGGAGGAGGTGAGGCCCTGGGTGTTGAGATGAAGAGGGTGATGAGGTCCAGAGAGCAGAGGAGGGAGGAAGGAAAGGAAGGGGCTCCTGAGGCGGACCTGTCTCAGTGAAGTCATGGGCTGGGAATAGTGGGGTGTGGAGGTGCAGATACTTCTGGGGAGAGAGCTGGCCTGGGTGGAGTTTGGGTTCAGTGAGGGAAATGGTAATGCAGAAGGTGGGGTGCAGGCACCTGTGGTGGTCTGTAAGGGCCAGTCTAAGGAGCCCAGACTCTGTCCTGATGTAGAGGACAATGCAATGTTGCTATACAGTGAATGTTTGTATCCTCCCCAAATTCATATGTTGTCACCTAATCCTGAATGTGATGGTATTTGGAGGTGGGGCCTTTGGGAGGTGATCAGGTCATGAGGGTAGAGCCCCCATAAATGGGATTAGTGCCCTTATAAAAGAGACCCCAGAAAGCCCCCTCATCCCTTCCACCGTGTGAGGACACAGTGAGAAGCTGCCATCTATGAAACAGGAGGAGGGTCCTCCCCAGACACTACATGTGCTGGGGCCTCAGTCTTGGACTTCCAGCCTCCAGAAGAGTGAGAAATAAATTTCGGTTGTTATAAGCCACCCTGTCTGTGATATTTTGTTATAGCAGCTTGAATGGGCTAAGATAAAGGTACAGTGGAGTTAGGGGGAGGGGGATCCTCTATAAGCAATTCTGGAGACAGCAGAGGGATGGGGTGGGTGTCTTAGCAGTTCAGAGGCAGCTCTGATGGGAGGAGGAGGTGAGCTCCTGTTTATAGGGACACGGGACAGTGTTTGCAGTGAATAACCACATAGTGGGCTCTCATCAAATGGCAGGCCCTCCTTCCCCTTTTATAAATGTTTCATTCACAGGAACGTGCACAGGATTGGCACACAGCAGGTACTCAGTAAGTACTTGCTGGTTAGGCCCATTTGTATACCTATGGCTCTCACCATTGGGGGAGATTCTTGGGGTCCCTCTCTTACCCACCCCACCCACCCCACTCCCCCGTGGACACCCCTCCTCCTACTTCCTGAAGGCCCGCTGTCTGGAAGAATTTTCCACGAGAAACTCTTTGGATCGGTTCTTCCTGCCCTCCAGGATGAGCCAGACGTTCTCCCTGGTTTCGCCTCTGTTGCCCGTTTCTATGACGATCTCATAGGCTGTAACGGAGCAGGTGGGAGAGGGTCAGCAGAAGGGAGCAGCACCCACCAGCAGGGCAGGAGGACAACGACCACTCCCTCAGGGCCTTTGTCTGATCTTAGGCCACATCCTGGGGGTGGGAGAGGTGGGTTAAAATGGCCATAGCCCAGGTGCTATAAGGTGAACCTGTCCCACTTCCGGAGCCAAAGTGATGGCTCCCATTTTATTTAGAGTAGCAACCTCTTTGCCAGGTGAACATGGGAGCCCCTGGGAACAAAGCAGGAGGTGGGGATGAGCACTCGGAGGGACATGGGGGCTTGGCTCTCAGGGATGGAAAAGTGCCCAGATGCAAATGGAGATCATATGCCGAGAAAAGAGGGTGGGCAGGGCCTGCTGACAAGATGCCAAGGGGAAACACCCAGGTGGGCAGAGGGCCCCAAGAGAGCCTGGAACTCACTCCAGCAAGCACCCCCAGCCCTGTCTGGTCTCAGTTGTCACTCTGTGTCATGCTCAGCCTTGCAGCAACCTCCTCCCTGCTTCCCTCCTGCATGTCAGCCTGGTGTCCATTCATCCAGACTTTAAGTGGGTACCAAGTGTCAGGACTGGACTAGATTCTGGGCGACACCGGAACTCCCTCTCCATCCCCAGCCCCAGACACTGACTGTATTGGACGGCAGAATGTGATAACTTTGCAACAGAGAGTGAGAGAAAATCTGGCTCCCTTTTACCTCTCCCACCTCATCTTCTAGCATGTTCTTTCTTGCTCACTCCAGCCACTCCGCCTCCTTGCTGTTCCCAGAGCACTTAGGCATGCACTTAGCCTTAGAGCTCCATGATGCAGTCCCCTCCACCTGGAGCGCTTCCCCTTTCTGTCCCCTTCTCCCATGTGGCTTGGCTCTCTCCTTCACCTCCTCCTGTCCTTACTCAAATGTCACTTCCCAGGGAGGTCCTCCCCAACCACTCTAATTAAAATTGCAACCTGATTCCCCCTGCACTCCTGGTCTGCTTTACCTCACTCTGTTATTTTCTCTTGCCTTGTCACCTTCTTTCATGCTACATACTTGCTTTTTTATTGTTTTATTGTTTATTGTGTTCTCCCCTCCCACTTGAAGGTAAGCTCCATGGGGATAGGCGCCTTCATTTTGCTCATCTGAGAGATTCTCACAAGTCCAGACCTGTTCCTGATACATAGAAGGCCCTCAATAAATATTTTTTGAGTGAGTGAATGAATGACTGGGCTAATCACAGGAAGCTTCATGAAGGGCGTGGCGTTTGAGCTTGGCCTTGGAGAAGAGCTGTGATTATAATCAGCAGAAAGTGGAGGGATGTTCCAGGGAGAGGGAAGAGTATAAGCAAAGATACTGAGGGGCTTGACATGTGATCCAGCCCCACTCTCCAGGGACCAGTCCGGGCATGGAGCTGGCACGCAGGAGAACACACTGAATCTTTGTCTGCAGTGTCCCCTGTGTTTATAGCTATTGCTTCAGTAAATGAATCATTGAGGGTTTGGGATTCTGGATCCAAAGGGATAGCTCTGCTTCTGTGCCATTATCTCAGAGATATGATGGAGACAGTTAGGGAAGGGAAGGCCAGGCCTGAAGCTCAATATAATGTCAATCCCAGCTCCTAGGCAACCCTGCTGCCTTTGTAACTTATCTCACAGAGAATCTCTGCTACCTGAGACAGGTAGAATGAATCTGGACAAAGAGGCAGGTGGCCTACGAGAGAGGAAGAGATCCACAGGTGGCACATGACTTTAGAAGTAGGAGGGGTTACGGATTCCAGTCCAGGGACTCACAGCTATCATAGCCAGGGGGGCTGTGCCACTGTCCTTCTGCTTTCCCAGCAGAGGCTAAGGTGTGCTCCATGAACAGACACTGGCGAATTCAAAGTGGATCCTGAGTGTCGTCAAGGACAGGATTTGTCAGCACCAAGGACGCAGGGAGCACGTGGAACCTACACGCTCACCACGATTAACTCAAGTAGGAGATGGCGAGAGATGATGCAGGTGCGGTGTGCACGGACTGGAACAGACCCTTTCTGATGGTCCTGAGGGGAAGGTAGAGAAGCAAGGTCTGTAAGCGAGAAGACGTAGGTAGATTAGAAACAAATGTTGCTAGCTGCCTTCAGAGAGGAAGCTTCAATCAGCATACTTTCCCTTCACCCTCTTTCCCATGTCATCAACGGCTTGATAAAAATGTGGAAGGCATGACTCTCAACCATGTCCACAGGTTGCTGGGAGGAAATGTACAGAGGAGGATCAGGGACCAAAATGAAAGGGGCAGGTAAAAGCGATGAGCCCAAGAGATCAATGTATGGCTGGTCCACGGGGCCACCACACCCATGGGACAAGCCCACCTGGAGAAAGAGGCTCAGCAGCCACACAAAGGAAGAAGCACCGTGGAGTCATGAGAATGAGGTGACCTCCAGCAAAGCCACCGTAGGCTTAGGAGGCATGAGTGGTGTTTCAAGTGGTGGGACAGGAGAGGGGAGAGCAGACCACCCTGGAAATTTAACTTTTGCTCTGGGCATGGCATCTGCAGAGGGAGATGAACAAGCAATCCAGGATGGACTGAGAGGGGGTGGGAGGACATAGAGAAGAACCAGTGCACATTGTGGAATGAACTCTTGAGACAAGAACCACAGGGGCACACGATGGCCATGAAAGAGTGCCAGGAGCAGGAAAGTTGGGCTTCTAGTGTGCACTGGAATTTACCGCCTCATGTTATCAGGACCACTCTACATTGGGTAGATCCTGCCATGTGGTTGGGACGGGGCTGTGAGTCCTGGGCCTGGCCAATTAGAATCCTCCCCAGGAAGATGCTCTCTTCCCTTCCACTGAGGCTATTAAGCTGGAAGGATGTGGGGTTGCAGCTACCAGCAGCCACCTTCCCGTGATGTAGAGAAAGTCTGCACTAAAATGAAGTCAACATACTGGGGGGACCAGAGCTGAGGAGAAAAGACAGACAGAGACATCCTGAAACCACTGGAGCCTCTGGAGACTGCTAAGTCTAAGCTAGGACCACCTAAGACTTCCAAGTTCTGGGAAACAATACATTCTTTTTTTGCTGGAGCCAGCTTAGATTTGGGTTTCAGGCACGTACAACCAAGAGCTCTGACTACTCTTGAAATGTTCTGTTTAACCCCATTGGAATTGCCAAAGGATGGAAGCTTCCAAAATGTAAATATGAAGATAGATTTTCTAACAGAACTGCTTTGTGAATAGTGAGTGCTCTATCCCTGTGGAGCTGGTCAGCAAGTGGGACTGTATTTGGGCTGGAAATGTTGCAGGTAAGGATGATTGAGCAGCCCCAAAAGGCTTCAAGAGAGTGGAGAGGGGAAGAAGAACTATAAAGAGGAAGGCATTGGTCTTGTTGTTGGATGTCCCAGCAAGAGACACATTTTGGTCTTCTTAGGTGTGTGTGTGTGCATGCGCATGCATGCCCGTACACCCATGCATGTGCACACCTGAGCATGTGATCTTACTGTCCAGGACTTACTCTGGATCAAGTACAACAGAATCTCTTGGGGGTGGGACTCAGCCATTTGTATTACTTAAAGATTGCCAATGTTGGCATCACCTGCAGAGGCAGATGCTCGCAGAGGGTTGGGAGCACCTTCTAGAACCACCATCAAGATTTGGGGGTGAAAGCAGGAACGGGAAGCTAAACAAGGTGAGGCAATGATCGGTCTGGAAGAGCAGGCAGGCCCGATAAAGACAAGACATCCTGGGCAGTACAGTGGTCCTTGGCTGTATCACTTAATATTTCTGTCTTTTTGTTTTCCTTATTCGTGATATAAGAGTGTGAATTTGCATTCTACCTCGTGGCGTGGGAGTAGGGTTGCAAGGACCTCATGACAACGTGGGTGTGGAATGCTTTCACTAATATAAAACTCTGTTTAGGTGCAAGGTGTTTGTCCTCACAAGCTGAGTGCCCAGAGTTGCCCCTGGGATCAGCGCCACCAGAATGTAAATGCCATGAGGGCAGGGTCTGTTTCACTCATTGGTGTCCCCAGAAGTCAGAATAGGGCCAGGCACTTGTGGGTGCTCAGTATGGATTAGCTGCATCCATGACTGCCCCCAGGGTGAGCTTTCATCTGAGGACATAGGTGTGGCTGTTTGTTACTTATGGGATCCCAGAGGGTACTGCTCTGCCCTCTGTAGGCTCCCAGTAAAGATGGACTAATCCAGGCCCTCTCCTGGCTCTGCCCCTGCCCTCCCATCTCCGTCACGTACACATCCTCCCAGAAGTAACACGAGTCACCTCCGCTCTGTAATTCCCCTGCCAGCCCAAATCCTGCAAGCCTTAGGAACTGTTTGGCAGGAAATCTGTGAAGGAGACTCAGCAATTATGCTCTAAGCCTTTGTTACAAATCTCTCCTCCCCTGAACACCAGCAGCCTGAGGAACCTCTATTGCTCATCCTGGCACTTGTGTAAGGGGCTTAGGGTTCTCCCTCTAACTAGATCATGAGGCTGTAAGAAAAGGACCACCTCTCCTTCCACTCACTGAGCACCAACTACCTGAGCACTTCCTAAGCCCCAAGGCCTACAGAGCTGCAGAGACCTACAAACATGAGTAATGCTGTTTCTGATCAGTGGTAGCTTTCAGATGTACAGAGAGACCAACACATGTACTAAGGGCAATACAAATGAGCTAGAGGTCACAAAGCAGTGTGCATTGCTCTAAAATAAAACCGGGCACCCCGTAGCTCCTGACAATGTGCAATTACAGAAGCTGGGAGTGTGCCTTCTGAATTAGGGCAGGAATACCCATATGGTAAACTCAACAAATGGGTGCTTGGCTTTTGTTTGAATGCTCCCAGGGGCCCTACCTATCAAGGTAGCTAATTTCATCATTGGGCAGTTTTGATGGCATGGCAGAGATGGGTGTGAAAGGGTGGCTTTCCACCAAAGATCCATGCTTCCCTCCCATGGTGTATGGTGATCCCCCAGAAGGGACTGCTCAGCCAGGAACTGCATTGCCCTTGCATCTGGCAGAGCCATGTGACTAGCTCTCACCGATAGAATATGTTCATGTGTTGAGAAGATAGGGGAGTGTGCCTTCTCCATGCTCTCCTTGCCCAAATGCAAGAAACGCAGAAGCCACGAGTTGGAAATGGCAGAGACACAGATGGAAAGAGCTTGGGTTTCTAAATCACACCACGGAAGACCTCCCACCCAACACCTATGCTGATCTATGTATTATACGAGCGAGAAATACATTTTGTTGTGCTAAGACACTGAGATTTGGGTGCTCACCTCTTACCGCAGCTAGTGTTGCCTTAATAGCAGTCTGGAAAATCCCTTCTATACGTCAGGCTCTGCTTTTGATAAGCCTTCTTCTAATCTGTTGGTCTCAGACATCTGTATTAAAGACACACCTCCCTAGGCTTTGATGGTATTTCCCTTAGGGATCAATTACTCTTTCCCTTTAAATAACACCTGAGGAAAGGACAAAGAGAAAGTGGCTGATGCAGTTCCTGACTCTCCTGCATTCTGTTTCTAGGAAGGCTTGATTTGGCAACTGTTGCCATGGGCATCAATTGGATAGAGTCCATGATATGAGAATAAACCAGAGAGAGCTTCATACCAACCTGCCCAGCCCAGTCCAGACCAGCCTTCAGGTCAGGGTGAGCTTGTCCCCAGTGGGTTTTCCTGCCACCTCATTAGTGCCTATGATTCAGGGACATGAGCAGTTCCAGGTTCACCAAGCAACGTTTAGGGTGTTTACTCCTGCATCTTCCATGTTATTGGCTTCACTGGGCATCTGACACCTCTCTGGCTGTGACAGTGTTTTATTCCAACACCCTTCCCCACCTCCTCCTGAGCTAACTCTCCTTTAACTCTGAAGAGTCAGCCCAGGTGGCACAGCCAGGCTGGGCCCCTGCTCTCCCCCACGTACTGGTCTCCTCCAGCTCATCATGAATCTCGTTGTTGGCACAGGCAAAGTCACGGACCGTCTGCCCGTCACCCTCACTCTTGGACAGCCAGCAGTCACACTGGAAGTGGAAGGTCTCATCACGGGAGTTGTCCTTCACATCGACATAGCTCAGGTGCCAGCCAGGAAATATTCCTGTGGAAAAGATATCATGGGGACTGGGAGATGAACATGCTATCTCTTCCCTTTTAGACTTCCACTCCCCACCCCCAATCAGTTGGCTGTGTGGCCCAGGACAAGTTCTCTGTCCTCTCTGGGCCTCGATCTCCTTGTTGATGAAATGAGGGTTTAGGTCAGGTGGTCTCTAGGGGGTCCTTGATCCCGGGGGATATAGTTGTCCTTGCAAAACCCTTAACTTGGGGTTCATGAACCCATAGAGGATTTGTGTATGAGATTTCAGCCATCTATTAGACCCAAGTAATTGAGCTATAATTATGCATGGATATTTTACCAGAGAGAGGGCATATATCTTTCATCGAATTTACAATAGAGGTCTCTGACCCAAGAAATAGATCTTTGTGCAGTTCACAAAGCTGAAGGATGACTTCTATTACTTCCTCACACAAGTATTCACCCAGTTCATGCCATTATACTTCCAGAATCAGTTCAGGTATCAACTCCTCCAGCAAGCCTTCTCTAATGTCCCCTGATTGCCTGCTAGGCATGTATCAGGTGTCCTCCTCCATGCTCCTAGAGCTTCCTGCACCTGCCTTGGCCACACCCTGACCACCTTGGATTGTCATTGTTTACATGTGTTTCACCCCCCAGACTATGAGCTCTTGAGGGCAGGGACTGAGTCTTATTTGTTTTGGTTTCCCTAATGCCTAGCATTGTGACTGGCAGGTAGCAGTTGCTCAATGAGTGCTGAATGAATGAATATGTTATAACTTTGGGGACTTTGGCTGAACTATTCAACAATCATAGAAGGAATCAGAAGCTGCTACTTCCTTAGGATATGTTGCTAAATCTGACAAGTCTTAGCCTAGTATGGAACATACAGCTGCTTCTGTTGTAATTGGCAGGGCTTCTCTCAGAAATGCTCCCACCACAGCATAGCTATCAAACATGATGTTCATTTGCTGGGACAGGTGCATGTTATTTTTACCACGCACTGGTTCAGTTACTCTCCACTCTTCAAAGTTATTGAGAACTTTTAAAACCACAGAGCCCAAGATATGGGAAATCCAGTGGTCTGGCAGGTTGTGGTGATGACACTCACTGGTCACATGTCCACAAGGCAACCCCACAAGGAAGGCACGGGTGTGATCTGCTCCCACCCCTCCTGCTCTCATACCACCTGGGGTCATGGGGGCAATCTCACTGTCCCCACCAAACAGCATTTCTCTAGGATCAGACACTCCCCAAAGCAACAACTGAGGATAGTTCCTGCCTCTGATCTCAAGGTCTTATGAGCACAAAGAGGGACACACACTTCCAGTCACCCAGATCACAGGGGGTAGATGTTAAAGCTCCTGGTTAACTGTGTGGCCAGCACTAGTGGGATGGTGGACACCCTATCTGACCCTGAGGACTAATAGGGAACCATCTGAAACTGACCATTAGAGAATCCATTTCCTTACAAAGTCTTTTCGTTTAGGGTTCTACTTTAGTTTTTTACACAAAGATAACCAACACTCCACACTGTTTGACATCCTAGCTTTTCACTCACAGACAACCCATAAGAGAGTATAAATACCTGCTTCATTCTTCTTCACAGTTGCTGGACATTCCACTGTATGCACACACCACAAATTACGTACCTTGTCCCAGTTGATGGATAATTAGTTGTTCTCCAGATTTCTACTCCTATACACAGTGCTATAATTAATATCCTTCTCCATGCATCATAGTTATCTTGTAAAATCACAAGTCACTTCTCCATATAAAACCCTCCAACAACTTCCCATCACTTTCAGAATAAAATGCAAACTGCTGGCAAAGGACTGTAAGGACTGACACGCTCCTCTTCCATTTCTCTGGCTTCATTTCATACTGCTCACAACTTCACTTTCTATATTCCATTTACGCTGGCCTTTTAAAAATACCTTGACATATGAAACCCTGTCTTGCCTTTGAAACTTTGCATTTACTGTTCTGTCTGGAACAATACTCCCCAGGCTCTGAATGCCAACGCTGTCTCGCCATTGAGATGTCAGATTAAATGTCCTGTCTTAGGGAAAGCCTTGTTAACCACCCTACTTGCAGAAGCTTCCTCATCCCCAATTACTTGCCATCTATCACCATATACCTACTTCACAATCTGAAATAATCTTGTTTTTATTTCCTCTTATATTGTACTATCTGTCTTCTTCCACTAGGTTGTGAGCCCCTAAGAGCAGCAGTCTTGCCTTATGTATCCACCACCGTATGCCAGTGCCTAGACCAGTGCTTGGCATATTATTCAATAAATGTTTACTGAATGCATGCATGTGCACTATGGCTGAACAGGGAATAACGAGGAAGAACACACTGGTGTGGAGTTTCAGGAGTGGAGGGGAGAAAGATTTAAAACCCCGCCAGGAAGCAATGGCTTGTTCTAGTAGAATTGATTATTTTATCCCAAATCTTCCAAAGTTTACTTTAAGAAAAAGGCTTAGAAACTTTGAACCAGTGTGGGGCCCCAATCTTTCCAGGCAAGAGGTGGCAGACTCTGAATGGGAGTGGAACTGGCAGCTGGATGCGTTATGCCATCTATTGCCTGTGATGTCCCAGTGGCTTTCCACCTCTGATGCCATAAAAGAGCCCAACTCTGTGTTTACATATTTTGGGCCTTCTTCACCTGACTCCAACCACCTTTTCTCTCATCTCAATAAGAAAGAGCCCTTATTCAGAACCCCTATCCCAGTGAGATGGAGTTTTTACGCATCTCTTTGGTGTCTCCTCCTCTCATTATGGCACCAAGATATTTCTCTGCCCTAAATGCCTGCCGATGCTCTGGACAAACTTAGGTCACACCTCCTCCATGAGGTCCTTTGACATCTGCATGCCCACAGTTTTCCTTGTCTGTCCATTCTCCTGGCCATGCTCACAGATATCTTGGGAAATCTTTGCTGTTGAGGTCACGGCTGTGCCCTAAGTCTTATATGACTATTTTTCTGTGTATGTCTGACTTCTCCAATTAGATTTTAGGCAATGGGAACTGTGTCTTAATTCTATCATAGGCACATGGACTTGGCATTCAATAAACATAGAATTGATAAATTATTTTTGCTTTCTGAAATGAACAGTCAGTTCTGTATTCCAATGCAAGCCATTGAAAATTCTTCTCAGGTAGAAAGATACACTTCACTTCACCCAGCAACTCTTTCCTTGAAAATAACCTTTGGCAAGTTAAGGGTTCATCTGGCTAACTCACATTTACTCATCAAGCTCAACAGATGGTTTGAAATGAGATATGGAACCATCACAGAGCACCAGCTATGGAAGGGTACAAGAATCTAGCTATTATCATCCGACAAACACTGTTACATGTCTATCATCTAAGAAGCCACCCAGGGAGACAGTTTGGGACTTGGCAGACCTGGGTTCCGGTCGTGGCATATCAAACAAACTGAACACATTATAATATCTCCATGCCTCAGTTTCCTCACTTGTACAATGTGGGAGTTAAAACAGGTGGTTTCTGAGGTCCTTTATATGTCTATGAATTTACATTGTTTAAAAAACATATAAATTCATTTTGTAGTAAATTTTTTTTTTATCTCACCAGAGTTTTAATTTAACCAGGGGAAGCAAGAAGAGTAGGATGAATTAGAAAATAAACACTCTGGTTATAATTTGTTCAGTATTGTGAAAGCTATCTGGGTAATTGGAATTAAGGAGAAGAATTAATCATTTATCTTGATTTTCCTCTATGAACTATATTTCATGGTAATCAAATAGCCTGAGGGGCACTATATTTTACAGAAAAATTCCAGCTAGTAAGTGGATAAGAAATGACACAATTAGAAAAACACTATTTGTAACTGTAATTGATCATTCCTGGATGAAGCCATTAGATGAAGAGTTATAAGGGAACCTTATAATGGGGAGATCAGGCTAACAGCCCCTGTAACCACTATTTAGTGTTATCTTCAGTAAGACTGGGACTCCTGTGTACTTCAAATTACATCAGTACACAGTATTTCTTCACTATGGTGTATTTCTCACAAATCTCCTCAATATACAGTACTGAGGAAACTTACATATATCCTGTCTACTTCATACACAGTATTAGGGAAGTTTTCTATGGAGTGGATATTTAATGATACAAAAAAATCATTTTTAAGTGTAATAATGATGGTGTGATTTTTGAAAGAACATTGTTTATTTAAAAAAGAGGATCACACTAAATATGTTTGGGGTAAAATGACATGAAGTTTAGGAATTGATTTTGTATCTTCCAGCAACCAAAAAGAAGTTAAGAAAGAAAAAGAAAAAGTAGGAAGGGTAAAGCTGATGTGACAAATCACGGTAACTGGTGAGCCTGAGTGATGGGTATGTGGAAGTTCATTACACTATTCCCTTCACTTTTGTGCATGTTTAAAATTTTTCATAAAAAAAGAACTACTGGATAAACAAAGTGAGATGAAAAGGTAGAGTCAGGGAAAGAGAAAATTTCTGTGATTTAAGTTAAATAAATATTTGTAACCTACTTATATGGTATTTGTTCAGGAATCCCCACCTTTTTTTGTGGAAGACTCTTAAACAAAATGTATTTGTCCTTATAAATTTCTATGCCAGGGAAGCATTAATGTAGCTAAGACACCTTTAAACTAAATATGAAAAAAGTGTGGCATGGAGAGAATTTAAGGACATGCTTAATGTTCTTTGCTTATATTGACATTTAAACTTCCATCCCTGGAGGAGAAAGTTACTATAAAGAGGAAGTTGGGCACAGACCCGTACTTCTTTGTCTCCTGACTCTAGTATCCCAACTACATGCACTCAGCAAGGATATGGAAATCTTTCTCTCCCTGCTGAGCCTCAAGATTTATCAATGATATGATCGTGTTTTCAAGTCTAATGACTAGAATGCAGGAGGCCCACTTCTCTGCCCACATTGGGAAGAGGATCACATCAATGACTCAGAATTTCTTTAAGTCCAAGAGCCATTATGGGGTCGAGGCAATCAGATAGTCTTTGGTTATCCAACG